ACATCTTTTCCTAAATTTGGAAACTTTCTAGTTATCCTTTTTGCTGTTGACTTCTGACAATTGCATTAGTCAAGAAAAATGGTCTCCATGCTGCTGATTCTTTGAAATTTGCTTACGTTTTCTCATAGCATGTGATCAGTTTTCCTTTTGTATTTAGAATATGCATTCTTATTGTGTATGCAGTGTTCTACACATGGTCATTAGCTCAAGCTTGATTTTACGTTCAGATTCGAGGTCTTTAACTGATTTTTTTAACTACTTGATCTCCCAGGCATATTAAAACAACTACCACAATGGTGACTTTGTCAATTTCTCTGTGTAGTTCTTTAGATTTCTGCTTTGTATTTTTTGAAGTTATCTTATTGAGGACATATAAATTTAAACAATGGGGGCTGGCCCAGTGGCACAGCAGTTAAGTTCACATGTTCCGGTTCGGCAGCCTGGGGTTCACCAGTTCGGATCCCGGGTGTGGACTGATGCACCGCTTGGCAAGCCCTGCTGTGGCAGGCATCCCGCATAAAGTAGAGGAAGATGAGCACGGATGTTAGCTCAGGGCCAGTCTTCCTCAGCAAAAAGAGGAGGATTGACAGCAGATGTCAGCTCAGGGCTAATCTTCCTCAAAAAAATAAATTAAAAAAAATTAAATGATTAATCAAACCTTCTATCATTACATAGTGATCTCTGTTAAAACAGAAAATGTTACAACAGTAAAAAAGTCGACTTAGACAGCTACAAGAGCTTCCTTTTGATATTTCTCTGGTATCTTTTGGCTCTCAACATTTCTGTATTTTTGTTTTAGATGCAGTTCTTCAAAAAGCATGTACAGGGGCCAGCCCTGTGGCCGAGTGCTTAAGCTCACATGTTCTGCTTCGCCGCCCCGGGGTTTCACTGGTTCAAATCCTGGGCGAGGACATGGCACTGCTCATCAGGCCACCTTGAGGTGGCGTCTCACATGCCACAACTAGAAGGACCCACAACCAAAATATACAACTATGGGTCCCATGCACCCCTATGTTCATTGCAGCATTATTTACAATAGCCAAGATGTGGAACCAACCTAAGTGCCCATCGACTGATGGCTGGATAAAGAAGATGTGGTATATATACACAATGGAATAGTACTCAGCCATAAAAAAGGACAAAATCCTCCCATTCACAACAACATGGATGGACCTTGAGGGTATTATGTTGAGCGAAATAAGCCAGACAGAGAAAGACGAGCTCTGTATGACTCCACTCATAGGTAGAAGTTAACATATAGATAAAGAGAACTGATCGGTGGTTACCAGGGGAAAGGGGGCGGAGGGGAAGGGCACAAAGGGTGAAGTGGTGTACCCACAACATGAGTAACAATAATGTACAACTGAAATTTCACAAGGTTGTAAACTATCATAATCTTAATAAAAAAAAATACAACTATGTACTGGGGGGATTTGGGGAGAAAAAGCAGAAAAAAAAAAGATTGGCAACAGTTATTAGCTCAGGTGCCAATCTTAAAAAGAAAAAAGCATGTCTATAGTGGATTGTTAAAAATCTAGTCTAACGACCCAAGATGTTCACAGAGGAGTGCATCCATTGACAATGGGATTTATCTCTACCTAGGATTGAGTGCTTTTTGTTCTATCCACTTTTTCTCCAGTGTCTTTATCTGTTCATTTTTTGTTTTTCTCATTTCTCTTTTGCCTCCTCAACATACACTACTGGAACATATATTAATTTGTTTCTTTTAGAGGCAGCTCTTCAAATTGGCAGGTTCATACTTAATCAAGTTGAAAGTTGGACCGTATCTTTATTGCCCGTCAGAATAATACAAGATCTTTAGAGTGATATAACTGCAATTACCAACCTTACATGCCCTAGTCTTAGAGGCTAAAGGTTACCTAGAATTTTTACTTTGTACTGTTTTTTCCTCCTACAAATCAGGTATTATTATTTTATACTACCAACATTTCTTTAGATTTACTCAAGTGCGTACTATTTTCTGTACTCACTACTACTTCCTACATCTCAGACTTTCTGGGATAATTTTCCTCCACCTTGAAGTATATCTTTTAGAAGTTCTGGAGCCAGCTTTGGTGGCCTAGTGGTTAAGTTCAGTGCACTCCACTTTGGCAGCCTGGGTTTGCTTCCTGAGCACAGATCTACACCACTCGTCAGTAGCCATGCTGTGGCAGCAGCTCACGTACAAAAAAGAGGAAGACTGACAACAGATGTTAGCTCTGGGCAAATCTTCCTCAGCCAAAAAAAGAAAAAACTTCCTTTATTGAGACAATTTTGGTGATAAATGCTCAGTTTTGTTGATCTGAAAATGTTGGGTTTTTTTAAAGATTTAATTTTTTTCCTTTTTCCTCCCCAAAGCCCCCTGGACATAGTTGTGTATTTTCAGTTGTGGATCCTTCTAGTTGTGGCATGTGGGACACCACCTCAGCACGGCTTGATGAGCAGTGCCATGTCTGTGCCCAGGAATCAACCTGGCAAAACCCTGGGCTGTTGAAGCAGAGTGCACAAACTTAACCACTCAGCCACGGGGCCGGCCCCTGAAAATGTCTTTATTTCACCCTCATTCTTAGATAATCCATATAGCAGAGTGGTCTACATCAAAATTTTTGAACTATATTAATAATACAGCATTTGATAGTTGAAAGCTGAAAACTTTATACATATAAAGGAAGTGATAAAGTAAGCATTATCTTAATTTAGTATAGCATGTATCAGATGATTGTCTGAACTATCTTTCATATGCATTTTTTACTAGATTCTCACAGTAATCCTAAAACGTTCACCTGTACAAGAAGTATTTTACAATCCCCCCTTTTTTTACAGGCAAATGGGATATTCTAAGATGTGTAATCACTCACTCTCGTTCTCCTGGTTTCATGCAGCGTCCCCGGTATCTGCTGCCCATCTAACTGAAGATGTGCCACTTCTCTCTCTTTAAGTCTGATCCTTTTGACAAGTATTAAAATTTCTATAGTGTTTAAGAAATCCCATTGGTATAACTTTTAGTTTAAAAGAATTTTTTAATAACCAAGAATCTTAATTCCTTCCAACATGTCAGATAACAAATCTTTTTAAGATAACTAAGTCTTTGGTCTGACACATTAATATAAAATTGATAATTTAAGTTAATATAAAAGATCATTATTTTTTAATCATGTTCCCAAAGAATAAGTTATAAATCTGTGAATAACAGTCCATTAAATTAACACTTCATTTATACAGAGGAGAAGTGAAGAATCCTATCACAGTCAAGGCTAGAATTCTGCTAAGAGTTGCTAAGCTTTTCATATACACGTCTAAGGCGGACATGACCACACTGCAGAGCTTGGCAGGGAAGGTAACTGAACTGCTGTCTTTTCTTAACAGCTAAAAGGAGTGCTCTAGAATAGAGCAGGACGTGCTCAATCATAATGATCACATACTCTTACCAGGGGGAAAACATGCATATCCTCCCAAAATACAAATATTTATAAATCATTTATGTGTAACATGCACTGTGTGTAATACACAAAAAATATAAATTGAAAAAGGATTAACTATAGATAAAATATGTAATATTTTAAAATAATATTTTAAATTAATGGCAAAATAACATTATTGAGGACATACAGGTGTGTGGATGCAAAACTGTAATGTGATCCAATGTAATTTAACTTGATTGCCAATTAGACTGCTGTCATTTTTAATTTCATAATGTGGCTGAAGAGCAAATATTGGGCCTGGAAGGGCTGTCAGCCTGAAGACTTTTTATTGTCTGCTGACAGTTCCATTCTCCCTCACCCTGCAACTAAAGTAGTTCCTAGACAAGGATTTGTCATTCATTAGGGAGACAATCCCAGGAGGCCCCATAAGAGTGGGGAAGTAAAAGGGAGGATGGAAGACAATAAACAGTGTGTTAATGAATAAATTATTGCTGTGAGCAACTGGGAATCAATCCTACTGAGGCCACTCTGAGAAACACCTTAGCGTCCTCTCACCGAGGGGTGAGGAAGCTGGAGTATTTATGTACCAAATCCCAACCCTCACTGGTTTAGGACCGCCCGGCCTAGCCCACATGCAGCCCGGCAGGCCCTGGCATCCAGAAGACACCTTGAGAAGTCCTCGGGTTTTGTAAACTGATGGTGAGCCAGTGGAGGCCCAGGGTACATGGGCGGGGCACAGACAGCATATGCTACATCTGCTATGCTTGCATTATGAAGAATATTATCTTCAATCTTGGCTTCTTTGCAGGATTCTTTTTAAGAGTTTAAAAAGAATCTTTGTTAGATAAGTGAATTTACAATTAGATAGTTTTAACTAAATAGGTAACATATAAATAAACATACCAATCAGAACACCTCTGTCAATTCTTTCCACATTTCCTACAGGATACCTCGAATATGTATGTGACATAAGAAAATCTTACATAGAGACTAAATGAGTACCAGGGTCGATCTGAATTATCAAAATGTTGATATAATTAATCTTTTCTTGGATTAAAATTATAAAAACAGAAGTCCTAAAATTTTCTTCTTCCACCACAATACATTACCATGTGTGTCCCTTGAGGCGTGTGCTCCCCATCCTGGCCCTCACCGAACCAAAGTACACAGAGCCTTGTCCACTCTCAGCTGGGAAAGATTTGATTCATTTCAGGGTATGTCTGGACTATTCTAAATGGGTAATACTAGTGATGTACAGTTCTAATATAGTTTTAGCATTTGTCTATAACTTAACAAAGATGAGATAAAAATTTCATAAGATTCTTCACAGAACTCCTTGAGTGGGTATCTTATTTCCCGGTGTTTCAAAAATTATACAGAGAGGCCGGCTCCGTGGCTGAGTGGTTAAGTTTGCACGCTCCGCTTCAGTGGCCCAGGGTTTTGGTGGTTCAGATCCTGGGAGCGGATATGCCACCGCTCATCAGGCCACGCTGAGGCGGCATCCCACATGCCACAACTAGAAGACCCACAACTAAAAATACACAACTATGTACTGGGGGGCTTTGGGGAGAAAAAAGAAAAATAAAATCTTAAAAAAAAAATTATATAGAAACCCAACCATAATGCAGTTCCATCTTGGAACTTAGTGTCACAGATCAAAATGCTCTGATTTTCCATAGTTTTTGGTGTGAAAGGCAGATGCGTAAGCTCGTTTTCATCCCCTTTACAGAAATAATAGCTCTACAGAAACATTTTCCAAAGTCACAGCTTCCTAAAGGAGTTATACATGAGAAATTAGAAATGCATTTAAACTTCCTAAACAAATAAGTGCTTAACTGAATTCCAGAAATGTGACACAGAGTTATAAAAGTCCATTTTATTTAGGCTGAAATGTGTATATTATTTATTTAGTTTAAAAACAAGCTTAACATACAATTTAATTGTCAATATAATTTTGACTAATCTTCAATAACCTAGGTACAGAATAGTCTGAAGTTTTACTGTGCTAGATTAAGAAATCCATTCTGTGTAGAAACACTGTTATGCTAATTCCCCTGGGGTTTAAAACTTCAGAATGGAATCACTTCAGCCTATTAAAGACTTTTTAAAACTTGCACACCATCCTGCAAAAAGACCATTTTATGATACATATGAACAAAACTCAACCCCACTTTCTCCAATAATAAAAAAATGTTTTTTTAAATTGTTACTTTTTAAATGACGTGAAACTAAAGAAAATTGGTTGCTGGTTTTAGAATCATCTTTGGAGAAGAAAATCCGGTGCTTTACCACTTGTTGCCAGGCCTTACAGAGGTAAGGTCTGTAGTCCACACCCGCGTCGCTCGGATGAGTGAAGGCAGAGGAAGGCCCTTCTCTTAAGTGCGAGGTTTTCCGCATTATACTTTGTGTTGTTGCAAAAAGAACCAAGCGGTACTCCTTTACAAGTTTCTCTAAGAACTGCGAACACTTCTTCAGAGTGGACTCCTGTAAGTTAACACTTTCGCCTCCATTGACACGGTCTATCCAGTAAAAAGCCGACAGGCTATCCACGATCAAAAGGCGGAGAGAGGGGTGACCACAGAACATAGCTTCTAGTGAATAAAGTGTGAGAAGTAACTGGATGCTGCTACTGCAATATACCAAAAAAAATCTTCCAAGGCAACGTTTGACTACTTCTTCACAACTTTGGGAGAGTCTATGCTCAAGAACTGTAACGAGCCGAAGCATATCAAAGTGGTAATCTGTATCAATAAACAAGACTTCTACTTCCAGTCCACCTTCTGATTTTGGAAGTATACAACGTGCTGTTAAATGATAAAGCATTTCTGTTTTTCCTGTTCCTTCTGGACCATGAAATTCAAGAATATCACCTGTGCAAAATTCAAAAATGTCAATCAAAATGCAGCAGCACAATAATAGCAGGCTACAAAATGAAAAGTCTGCAAAAATGTTTAAAAAGACATTCAACAGAATGTGAAAGAAGATCTAAATCCATTTGCCAAAATGGATCTGTTAAGCAAATACAAATAAATAAGGAAATTAAAAGTAAATCATTAAGTTTCACCTCTGAGAAAGAAGTTGGCTATTAATTAGCATGAAAAAAATTTCCAAAACAGAACGACCAGGTTGAAAGGGGTCCAAAACAATGTCCTGGGCTTGAGTCCACATGCACTCACACTTAAATTGGTGATATTAGAGAGTTAAGAATAAAGTGCCACACGTCTAGGGCCTTTCAAAACTGTTGAATACTATGGTACACACTATGTCTGATAATGGATTATCCCAAATCCATTCTCTCTTTTTCCTTTAAGCATAACACCTCAACTGGGGAAGGGAATGCGCCCAGCTTAAAAACTATTTTTCTCAGTCTTCCCTACAAAGAGGAGTCACCAGGCATCATAGCTGTAGCCAGTGAGACACAAGGGGACATCTGTTGGGATTTCTAATTTTTGCTTTCCAGACACAGGTACCAGTTCTACTCTGCCGGTCCCTTCTCTGGAGGTGAAACTGCTAACTTGAAATAGTGAGGATGAAAGGTGGACACCCTAAGGAAGGTGGACTCGAAGGATGGTGGAGCAGGAAGAGAGGAAGTAACCAGGACTTTAATCAAAATATGGAACCCTGGACCAGCTATGCACGGCCTGTCTCTATATCACTTGTGATGTGAGGAAAATAAGCCACGATCTGGTAAGCCACTAGGCTGGACTTCTGCCACTCACAGCTGAAACAATCCCTGGTGTTTCTCAATGTTACTGGCATTATGGGTAGAGCAATTCTTGACTGTGCAGTTTCACACACACAGGGTGGAGCCCACAGCTCTCGGGCGCTAAATTCCAACAGCATCCCTCAACTGAAAACAGCCCCACATGTTTCCAAACCGCCTTCAGTTATCCTTTGCTATATGAAACTCTCTCAAACTGCGTCCAGCTGGAAAGACACCTGCAATGTGAATCATATTCCTAGCATTATAAATCGAAGTCAACTACTCTGAACTTTAAAGACGTTAAATCTCTTTCTGTTTAGGTTTCAATAACTCTTTCAGTGAGGACAACACAAATTAAATAAAACACCTGGGGAAATTGTCCTGCCTCCAGAGCTTTTCAAAATCTACTTTAAACAGTGGCCTTCCAATTCTTGCTAGTTTGTTTGCCATTTAATTTATGGCTGAACCACATAACTGGAAACACTGTGTTAAAAATGCCTATTCTTAGGCCCCAAACAAATTACATAGTCTATCTGAGAATCCAGTTACTTTATTTCTTGTTATTACTAACCAACCACTGTATGCTGGAACATTCAGGAATAATGGAGAAGAATTAATCTAGCAAACTGCCACCATACTATATTTAAGGTAGTATAAAACTTCAGCCAATGTCTACTACCATCTTACATATAATTTGCAGTCCAAAACTGACATTAAAAAGATTCCCCTTCCGCCCCCAAAGATTCCAGCCTCAAGGAATGAAACTATTTTCACACTAATAATTGTTCATGGATGCTCTTATTAAAAGTCAACAGTGACTAAAACTATATTAAACCCAGATGTTCAGTTTACTCTCTTCTACTATATTACTAAGGAGCTAAGCTGAAAGCTTCCCCTTGCCCCCAAATACATGTCTTTTACCGCCCTGTACTGTAGAAAGAATAAACTGCACGCTCTAGATGAAGAGACATTAACACAGAACCAACATGAACGGGAGCGGAGGAAAGGTGAAAACAGTTAGCAGGATTAATCTGAAAGGGGTCTGTGGGCACATGGACCATGCGGAAACATCACGGGAAGCGATGAGAGACTGCACCGAACCCTCCCTCCCCTCTCCCCAGACCCGCAAGCAGAAGAGGCTGAGGAGCAGCATTGGCCTTTCCATAGTACTTTACAAGTGAAAAGGGACTGCTTTATAATACCTCATTTGATCCCAACAATAAGACTTGGAGGTAGGAAAAGCAAACTTTATCATCTTCCATCATCACATTTATCATGCCATATAATTTTGACTATTTACTCGATTACATTTCCTGGAGCTACTTTAAGGTTGACACTTGAATAGTCCATCCATCCCCAGCAGACACACAGGATCTTCTGAACACACTTCATCAGATTACTTTCTTCCTAAGAACTTCCTGAGAGACATGTAAAGAATAAACACCTAAGTCCTGATTTGGTGAGAGTTAAAGGCCCAAAAGTCAATTCTGGAAAATGGCGTTTTGAAAGGGAGCAGGTCTGGTAGAGAGTCAAAGGTAGGGGGCTTCAGTTAGCAGAGTCCAGCAGGTCTTTGGCCTGAGACCAAGGCCTGGAGCAAGGGACCAAGACAGGAAAGAAGCAAGAACAAGAACAAACTGTCCAGTGCTAGCCCAGGCCCTACTTGCTGCCCCGGCCCAAGCAGTTCTGACACTTAATTCCTGTTAGGTCTTCAGCCCCCTTCACTGATTCCAAAGGTAAGAGTAAACCTGAGGCAGTGATTTAAAAGTTCTCAGAGTTAGGCTTAGAAGTACCCATACAAATCAAATACGTGAGCAAAGCAGAGATTTTTAATTCACGTAAATATCCTAAAAAGAATTTAGCTTTCAAAATGGTATGTTAAGATCTATCTCTACGGGGCTGGCCCCGCGGCTCAGTGGTAAGTGCGCATGCTCTGCTTTGGCGGCCCAGGGTTTCGCTGGTTCGGATCCTGGGCGCGGACATGGCACCGCTCATCAGGCCACACTGAGGTGATGTCCCACATGCCACAACTAGAGGGACCCACAACTTGAATATACAACTGTGTACTGGGAGGATTTGGGGAGAAAAAGGAAAAATAAAATCTTAAAAAAAAAAAAAAGATGTATCTCTAGGTGTTACAAAATAAAAATGTCCTAAGCCACTAGGATTTAAGAGTGAAGACAGTACTGAGAGGCTGGATATAGCAATCTGGGAGTAAGCAACACAGAAAGAGAGAACAGAAAACTCTCTTTGGCGGGTGGGAGGGGATCTAGAATGAAGAATAACAGGCCCAAAATTCAGTTCTTGGGATACATCCAGAGTTAGAGAAGTCAGCACAAAGATACGGAAATTTATTAGAAAGATCAAGAGGAAAAATGACACAGAGCACAAAAGAAGGTTTCAAGAAAATGAAATAGTACTAATACTAAGTACAGCAGAAAAGTTCTAAAAATGAAAACATGCTGGGGGAGAGGTAGGGAAGAGATCACTGAATTGTCCTGGATAGTGACCTTACAGCAGTAAATGAGTAACGTACAAAAGCACATTTAATATAAATACTATTTTATGAACCAAACGCCAACAACTGAGACGCTCAGATGATAGCCTGAAAGGGCACCGTGGGGAGCAGTCACCGCTTCTGGAGCAACAGCGAGGACGGAGACCACACCGAAGGAAGGTGGCGAGCACGTGAGGAAACGGAAGAAAGATACAATGGATTGTGCTCATTTAGTAAGTAAAAAGTTCAGTAGCAGTTTCATGAGGCTGGAGAGTCAAACGGAGATAATTTGAGGTAAGAGAAATGTAAGATATTCTGAGGTAAAAGGGAAGGCACTCCACAGAGAGAGAAAAATACATGATACTGGTCAGAGGGCAACTGAAACTTCTCTGGATATTTCGGGAATTCTCAGAATAGGGAAAAAATGAAAACTCTGCCAAGTATGTTCTTGGAGAGAAAGGTGGTACTCATAAACATCTTCCAGCAGGACTCAAAGGAATATGTCTTTGAGGGCACTTTCCTACAGTCTCCCAAGGCCTTCTAAATTCACGCAGCACTAAGAAACAGCTGATGCACTACATGGCTACAGAAAGAAACTGGGGCCAAGTTTAAGATCAAATCCCTGGTTAAGAGATGATCTGGTAGATAAAAACACTCTGCCCCTCTCACAGATTAATAGCAAGGCAGGTTAAAAGGTCACTTACAACAACTGGGCAAGTAAAATCGGCCAACTTGCAAATTACACATGAACATTTTCACTAAGGTGCTTGAACTAGATTCCCTAGAAATATGTTTAATGATGAAATGAAATCAGTTTCACTGATGTTATAAACATTTACTGTCTAATCATAAGATCAAAAATAATATTCAAACATTATGTTCTGGAGCCCGCCCCGTGGCTGAGTGGTTAAGTTCCCGTGCTCTGCTTTGGCGGCCCAGGGTTTCGCCGCTTCAGATCCTGGGTGCGGACATGGCACCACTCATCAGGCCACGCTGAGGCGGTGTCTCATGTGCCACAACTGGAAGGACCCACAACTGAAAATACACAACTATGTATCGGGGGGCTTTGGGAAAAAAAGGAAAAATAAAACCTTTAAAACAACAACATTGTGTTCTATAGAGGAGACAGTCCTTTAACTGTCTGAAGTCACTATCTCATATGTTTCTGTGGGTTGTTACAAAAAATCAGAGCCTAGTCCAAAGGATTGAGCGTGACAACTTGTGGTAAAAAAAAAAATAAATAAAATAACAAAAAAACCTCTAAAGTTTGGCACTTGACAAATTAAACTAAATCAGAAAAATCTGGAAAGTTTGGCCTTGATAGTTACTCTCACAATTAGGATGCTGCAAGGGGTCTGGGTAACAGATTGTCAGAGTAAGTTTATGAATCTAAAGATCCTTCAAAATAAGGACAAGAAAGAAAAGCCAAAAGATACACCATCTTGGTACCAACCCAGTAATTGTGTCACAAATATGTTGAATTTACAGATTACAATCATTATAGTACTGAAGAGGCAATGAATTGGTATATGGCACTGAATAACTACTATCCAAAAAAGCATTAAAAAGGTTTACAACAGCATTAGAGACTCCTATAACCCCTAAATTTCTTACTGCTTCAACCTGAGCTTCCCTATAAGAATTCTAATAAACTGTTGTTGATAAACGATCCTTATAATCCCAGTCTTACGTCTGCTATTGCTCCAACGAGTATTCATCTAACTAGCTTTACAGCTATAAGATCTAGGATAGTTTCAAGTAAACTTTGGTACTAACTGAACATGACGGTGTTTTTAAAGTTTCTATAAGCGTACTATTCAAATACGTAAGTTGTGCTGCAAATCCAAGTTTTAATGTCAGTTTCATAAAGTTAAATTTAATAATATCCCTTCTGACAGAAAGACCAGAAAGTTCAATCTTTTGTCTATCATGGAAGATTAGCCCTGAGCTAACTGCTGCCAACCCTCCTCTTTTTGCTGAGGAAGACTGGCCCTGAGCTAACATCCACACCCGTCTTCCTCTACTTTATATGTGGGACGCCTACCACAGCATGGCTTTTTTGCCAAGTGGTGCCATGTCTGCACCCGGGATCCGAACTGGCAAACCCCAGGCCACTGAAGTGGAACGTGCAAACTTAATCGCTGTGCCACCAGGGCAGCCCCCAAAATTTGTCTTTTATTATTGATAGTTTAGAACTTTTTTTGCCAACAGATCTTCTCTATAAGAAATATTAAAGGGAGTCCTTCAGGCTGAATGCAAGGACAGTAGACAGCAACGTGAATACATAAAGAACAGGTAAATATAACTACATAGGTAAATGTAAGAGACAGTATAAATGTGTTTTATACTTGTAACTTTTTTCATTATCTGATTTAAGAAATAACTGCATTAGAGGGCCAGCCCTGGGGCCGAGTGGTTGGGTTTGCGTGCTCTGTTTCTGCTGCCCAGGGTTTCGCAGGTTCGAGTCCTGGGCGCAGATATGGCACCACTTGTCAGGCCATGCTAGGGGGGCGTCCCACATGCCATAACTGGAAGGATCTACAACTAAAAATACACAGCTAGGTACCGGGGGGCTTTGGGAGAAAAAGGAAAAATAAAATCTTAAAAAAAAAAAAAAAAGAAAGAACTGCATTAAGTAATAATTTTAATTGTTATAATTTTAAAAGTGTTTATGGGCATACAATGTATAAATACGCAATTTGTAAAAGCACAAAGGGGAAAAATGGAGATATACAGCAGTAAAGTTTTTACAAAGTATTCAAATTAAGATGGTATTAATCCAAACTAGATCGTTATAAATTAAGATGTTAATTGTAATCCTCAGAGCAACCAACAGGAAAAAAATTCATGAAAAATAAAGTAAAAATAATGACAAGAAATTAAAATGGTATACTAGAAAGTTTCTATTTAATACAAAAGAAGATAGTAAAGGAGGAACAAAGAAAAAAGACATAAGACATATATAATACAGACAGCAAAATGGCAGCCATAAATCCTGTCTTATCACTAACTGTAAATGGATTAAACAGTCTAAACAAAGGGCAGATAGGCAGAACGGAATAAAAAACTTGATCCAACTACAGGCTGTCTGCAATGGGCACGTTTGACATTCCAAGTCACAAATAGGTTGACAGAAAAAGACATACTCCGCAAACAGTAACCAAAAAGAGAGCTGAAATGGCCATACTAGTATCAGACAAAACAGACTTTCAGACAAAAATTGCGATAAAGGACACATAACATAAAATTTACCATCTTAACCATTTTTAAGTGTACAGTTCACCAGTCTTAAATATATATATACACACACACACACATATTGTTGTAAAACAGATCTCCAGAATTTTTCAGCTGAAAACTGAACTCTGTCCCTATTAAACAACAGCTCCCGTCCCCTTTCCCTGCCCTCTAGCTGCTGGCAGCCACCATTCTACTTTATGCTTCTATGAGTTTGCCTACTCTAGATTCCTCACTTAAGTGGACTCATACTAATACTTTTCTTGTTGTGTCTGGCTTGTTTCACTCAGCATGTCCTCAAGGTTCATCCATCTTGCAGCATGTGACAGGATTTCCTTCCTTTTTAAGGCTGAATAACAGTCCATTATATATATAAACCACATTTTGGGGGCTGGTGCAGCAGTTAAGTTCACACGTTCCACTTTGGCGGTCAGGGGCTCACCAGTTTGGATCCCGGGTGCACACCTACAGACCGCTTGTCAAGCAACGCTGTGGCAGGCAGCCCACATATAAAGTAGAGGAAGATGGGCATGGATGTTAGCTCAGAGCCAGTCTTCCTCTGCAAAAAGAGGAGGATTGGCAGCAGATGTTAGCTCAGGGCTAATCTTCCTCAAAAAAATAAATAAATAAATAAAGCACATTTTGTTTATCCATTCATTTGTTGATGAACGCTTGGGTTGCTTCCATCTCTTAGGTATTGTGAGTAGTGCTGCTGTGAACATGGGTGTGCAAATATCTCTTCAATAACCTGCTTTCAATTTTTTTGGCTATGTACCCGGAATTGTTAGATCATATAGTAGTTGTTTTTTTCTTTTTAAAGATTGGCACCTGAGCTAACATCTGTTGCCAATCTTTTTTTCTTCTTTTTCTCCCCAAACCCCTCCAGTATGTAGTTGTATATTTAGTTGTGTGTCCTTCTGGTTGTGGCATTGAGTTCTATTTTTAATCTTTTTAGGACCCTCCATACTGTTTTCCAGGGTGGCTTTACCATGCTACAATCCCATCAACAGGGCACAAGGGTTCTAATTTCTCCACATCCTTACCAACACTTGCTCTTTTTTGGTTATTTCGACAGTGGCCATCCTAATGGGTATGAGGTGACAAAGGACATTTTATAATGATTGTGAGTCAACCCATCAATCAGATATAATAATAATAAACTTATTTGTGCCCCACAATACAGGAAGCCCCAAAATACCTGAAGCAAAAACTGACAGAACAAAAGGGATAGAGAAATAATTCGACAGTAATAGTTAGAGTCTTTAATACTGCACTTTCAACAGTGGACAGAACAACTAGACAGAAGATCAGCAAGGAAACAGAAGACTTGAACAACACTGAAAACCAACTACAACTAAGAGACATTAGAAAAACACTAGTCCCAACTACAGCAGAATACACACTCTTCTCAAGTGCACGTGGAACATTCTTCAGGATGGATCACATATGTGGCCATAAAACAAGTCCCAATAAATTTTAAAAGACTCTCTCACAAGGGCTGGCCCCAGTGGTGCAGTGGCTAAGTTCATGTGCTTCACTTTGGTGGCCTTGGGTTCATGGGGTCGGATCACGTCCATGGACCTACACACCAATTGTCAGGCCATGCTGTGGAGCCATCCCACATACAAAATGGAGGAAGACTGGCAACACATATTAGCTGAGGGCCAATCTTCCTCACCAAAAAAAAAAAAAAAGACTGAAATCATAGAAGTATGTTCTCTGATCAGAAAAGAATGGAAACAGAAATCAATAACACCACAAAAAGCCGTAAATCTTCTTGCCTTTGGATTAGGTAACGGCTTCTTAGCTATGATACCAAAAGTAGGAACAACAAAAGATAAACTGGACTTCATCAAAATTAATAACTTTGTGGGGACTGCAGTTGATGAGTGTAGGTGACAGTGAGGGCTGAGGGATGGGCAGGAGACAGCGAAGTGAAGAGAAGGCTCAGTTCTGGGCATGGAGACCGAGGATCCTGGGGTTCACTTTCCCACATGCATCTCATCCTTGGCTTGGTGCAGGGTCATAATTACATAAAGTCTTGGATTAAAAAAAATTAATGACTTTGCACTTCAATGGATAACATAGTGAAAAGACAAGCCACAGAATGAATGGGTATCCGCGCATCATATATTTGATAAAGGACTTGTATCTAGACTATATAAAGGACTCTTTCAACTCAATAATAAAAAAGACAAGCCAGTTTTGAAAATGGGCAATAGATCTGACATTTCTCCAAATTACATATACAACTTGCCAATAAGCACATGCAAAAATGCTTAACATCATTAGCCATAAGGGAAATGTAAACCAAAACCACAGTGAGAAATCACTTCATACTCATTTGTTTGCAGGATGTGGGGAAATTGGAACCATCATATGCTTTACTGCTAGTAGCAAGTAAAATGTGTAGCTGCTTTAGAAAATAGGCAGTTCCACAACAGGTTAAACACAGTTACCATAAACCTAGCAGTCCTTTTTGTAGGTATTACCCAAGAGAACTGAAAACATATCCACAGAAAAACCTGCACACAAATAATCATAGCAGCATTACTTGTAACAGCCAAAAAGTAGAAACAACCCATTTGTCCATCAACTGATGAACAGATAAACAAAATGTGGTCTACCTACCCACGCAATAGAATATTATTCAACCGTAAAAAAGGAATGAACTACTGAGGCACGCTGCAATATGATGAACCTTGAAAAGATTATACAAAGCGAAAGAAGCCAGTTGTCACAGAAGACCACTTCCTGTAGGATTCCAATTATATGAAAAGTCCAGCAAAGGCAAGTTTAGAGTAGAGAGTAGACTAGCAGTTGCCTCGGGCTGAGAGATGTGGGAGGAAATGGGGAGAGACTACTAATAGCCATGCCTTTTTGAGGTGATGAAAATATTCTAAAATCGATTATGGTGATGTTTGCGTAACTGTGTGAACACTAAACATCATTGAATTGTACACCTAAATGGGTGAATTATATCTCTATAAAGCTGTTACAGTAAAAAAGAAAAAACCACCTAAGCCCACTACCTGCTTTGTAAGGTTTCCCGAGTGTGGAAGTGCTAATAGAACAAGGAGACGTGTATTTTCTCTACTGTAGAAACATCAACAGAACAACAGGACAGCTAAGGACTTTCCTGTGATTCTCTAACTTCTGAAGCATGAAACATAAATTATAATAACAAGACTCCCACAAATATCGTGTTGGGATAAGAGGGGTCAATGTTTGTTCTGAAGATTTACCAGACAAGCCAAACTCTACCCCATCTGACACAGAGAAGGACGGCTTACAAGGGTTTTGTTACAATCTGTTTCTCAGTTTTTAATTTCACAGTTTAACCTATACAGTCTCTTGCTAGGAATATATGTATATAAAAAAACATGTTTTATAGAACTTATGACACTATATTTTGATCTGAGATCGTTTTTTACCAAGCACAGGTGAATCTTCATTAGCAAACAGATAGGGTTCTATTTCTTTCAAGGAACTTCTACCTTCAAGTCGGGCAAGGAGCTTGCAAAAGAAAAAAAGAGAGAAGGAAAAATCATTACCGAAAAATACAAAATCCTAGAAATCTACATTTATACAATTTTCCAAAAGTCAATAAAAAAACTTTTCAAAATTTTGAGGATTTGGAGGAAATTATGAAATAGAAAATATAATTTAGGAAAAAAAATTGTGTTCACTTATTCAGAAAATATTTCATTTTTTGTTTATGTACCAAATACTGACGGTACAAAATGAGTCCCTGGCCTCAATGGAATTGATAGTGTAGTTTGAGATACAGGACCAAACTGCTAAGTGCAGTTTTTACCTTCCTTATGTGTCGTAATTATCTTTCTCACAATACTTACCACACTTGTTATACAGGTATTAGCTTTTAATCTGTCTGCCCATTATATTGTGCTTATCTAGTAGGGAGGAGGGGACAAAAAAGAAAGGTGGAGAAAAACTTCCTTGAGGAACTCCCAGCTGAATTTGTTAGGTGAATGGGGCAGGCACACCAGGTAGAGGGGACCACACAGCCAAGGGGCGGAGGTTACCAACAGCACTGTGTGTAGGCAAACTATAAGCAGAGCTGAATTGCTGGAGCTTGTAGCACGAAACAGGCAGGAGACAGTGAAGACCTAAAAGATCAGAAGTCAGATCACAGAAGGCCTTAGACGCCATGTTTAGGAGCTTGCTCTTTGGCTTGTAGACAAGATCAAGGGGTTTTAGCTACACAGTGAGAAGCGGTCTGGAACAGTTAAGAGTAGACAGTGGGACTCCAAAACTAGACCTGCCAGCTCACTTCTCTGGGCCTGAGGCTCATCAGTAAGGTGAGGATAACTAACAGTATGTCCTTCACAGGGCATTGAGAATTTGATATGTTAAGAGTGCTTAGCACAGGGGCTGGCCCCATGACCGAGTGGTTGGGTTCGCATGCTCTGCTTCAGGGCCCAGGGTTTCCGCAGGTTCGAATCCTGGGTGTGGACATGGCACGGCTTGACAAGCCATGCTGAGGCAGCGTCCCATGTCACAACTAGAAGGACCCACAACTAAAAATACACAACTATGGACCGGGGGGTTTTGGAGAGAAAAGGAAAAATAAAATCTTAAAAAAAAGAGTGCTTAGCACAGAGCAAGTACTATGTAAGGCTGAGCTATTATCACCCGAATTTCAGACAGATCACCTTTGTGGCTGGTAGGGGATGGATTTGAGTATGACCAGAACCACAGCCAAGGTTGGAGTCTCACCCAGCCTGGAGGAGTGCCCGCCAGTCTTTAGTTAGGAGGACTGCAAGAATTCGGGCACTGATTTAAATGTCAATGAGGGAATCATAATCAAAGCTGATTCTCAAGTTTCTAAGGAAATCAGCACAGATTTGACAACCCTTCTATACAACAAAAGAAAAAAAACCATATCAGAAAGGGGAAGAAAAGCAGTCACCTTTCGTGTTTTTTTTATTGAGGCCAAAGTTTTGAAAAGACTTCCTGAAGCGATGAAAAGCTTCTATACATTAGTTTAGCAAACATGTACTGAATTTCTATTACGTCCACAAACACTATGGCAGGTAAAATGGAGACTACAAAGATGAGGAAGACAACCTGCCCTCAAAGAACTAGCAGTCTAGGTCTTCCGGGAGATGAGATTTTATTACAAAACAAGGTAAAGACTGGTAATGACACAAGAAAGTGCGAGAGCAGCGATTCTGAAGGCGCATCTAAGGTCAAGACTATTTTCACATATATGAAGACACTATTTGCCTTTTCCACTAAGTTGACACCTGCACTGATGCTGCCACGGTGGGTAAGAGTGCCAGCCCCGGCCCATCAGGAAGCGGCATCAAGCTGTGTTAGCACACATGGGACTCCTCACCACTGGCAGAAAGACACCCAAACAAGCAAAACTAGTTTACAGAAGAATGCCTCTGATGAGGGAGTAAAAAGTATTAGTTCTATGAAATTATGACTCTTGAGTACTTTTTAAAATACTCTTGGTGATCTGGAAAGCATACTAGTGGGAAAGAATTCCATGTTGACCAAGAAGAAGTACTGCCTTTGCCCTCGCTCCTGGGGGATCATCTGGAAACCTCTTGGAATATCCTGCCTGATGAAAGCATCTTCATGCACCTGGGGCCTTGAGCCACACCAGACAGTCTAACAATGTGACTTACGGTGGGGACTTTGTGAAGCTTGACCTCTGGGACCAGAGGGGCTGGAGAATGAGGTAGCTGTTTGGGCAGATGACCGTGTATAAATGAGAGCCCCACAGAGACTCTGGATGTCCAAGTTGAGGTGAGTTTCCCTGGTGGGCACAGTGCCACAGTGCTGCTGGGAGAAGTCAGCACTGTCCACAGTTCCACTGGGAGAGGACAGCTGGAGGCTCTGCATTTGGATTCTCCTGGACTTCGTCCGACTACATCTCTTCCCCTGGCTGATTTTAATCCGCATCCTCTCACTGTAGTAAACCATAACCATGAATCTGACAGCTTTCAGCGAGTTCTGTGAGTCCTAGGAAATTATTACACCTGAAGGTGGTCCTGGGGACCTGGAACTCTCCAGTTGGTGACACAAATGAAGACAGTCTTGGGGACTTCTCCATAACTCCACACACACATAAGGCTCCAAACTGAAGTACAAAGGTTTTTCCCTAGGAAAAGCACTTGTGTGATTATTTGAGGTGGATGCTTTTATTCATGAAATATCCTTTTATTTGAAAGAACTACTGATAGACAAACTATGATTACCCAGACTTTGGTATCTGGCAGACATTTTATTGAAAACAAAGAAAATAACTGACAGTATTTGTTGCCAATGATAGTATTTGAATTTTGGAAAACTTTTATCCACCACTGTGAGCTTGATAGCTTCCCAAAACTTTAGGTCCTTTTTGGTGAACTCACTGGTGATTTTAAAGAATGTGATTTTTGCGGGGATAGTTATTTAAGGAAACCTGTCAATACTTGGAAGATCTATATAACTCAGCGGACCAATATTTGCAAATGACCAAGGCGTGATGTTAAATCATTCCTGGGTAAAAGATTCTCTCTAAGTGTAAGACAGAAAAGTTCACTGATGCAATTCTATACCCTACATTACAATTAACTTTTAGGAAAACTACTACTAGTCAAGTTTTGGTATAATATCAAAGAAGACTATCCACAATTATCTGAAAAGATCTTAAAAAAGTCTTTCCTTTTCCAACTATATAAGAGGCCGGATATTCTTCATACACTTTAACCAGAACAACATACAGTAATAGACTGGATACAGAAGAGAAGGAAACCCAGTTAACTTCTCTTCAGCCAGACATTCAAGAGATTTGCATGGGCTGGCCTGGTGGTGTAGCGATTAAGTTCACGTGCTCTGCTTTGGCAGCCCAGGGTTTCACAGGTTTGGATCCTGGGTGTGGACCTACACACCACTCATCAAGCCATGCTGTGGTGGCGTCCCACATATAAAACAGAGGAAGATTAGCACAGATGTTAGCTCAGCAACCATCTTTCTCAAGCAAAAAGAGGAAGATTGCTTGAGGAATCTCTCTTTGAAGAAGACTGGCAACAGACGTTAGCTCAAGGCCAATCTTCTTCACACACAAAAAAGAGAGAGATTTGCAAATATGTAAAACAGTGTCACTCCTCACTATTACATTTTTTGTTTAGGAAAATACAGCTATTTTTCAAAAAAGTTATTTGTGATAATATTCAACAAGTTTACTACTGTCACTTGTACATGAATGTAAATATTTTAAATTTTACATTTCTCAGTTTCATTGACGGATACAACTCATATAAACAAAAGCTCTTTTGGTGATGGATGTTAATTAGATTTATTGTGGTGATCATTTTACAATATATACAAATATCAAATCATTATGTTGCACATCTGAAGCTGATATAATATCAATTATACCTCAATTAAAAAAAGCTCTCTGGAATCCTCAATAATTTTTACATATGTAATGCAGTCCTAAGACCAAAAAGAATGAGAACTACTGAGTTACAAGATTGAAAGTCCAGCTTAAAGGAGAAGACAGAGACTTCCATGGCCAAGATGGAACATATGAAATGACTATAAAATGTTTTCAAAAGCATGTACACAAATGACTAACGTCCTCATCAGAATGACTAACTTGGGAAGTTACTCCAATTGTTTACTCTGTCATTGCTCAAAATATTTTAGAACCCTCCCTCTGAGACTTCCTTGTAAGATAGTATACAAGAAAGTATTATCATTTTATTGACATGACTCTTGGACAAAGATGGTATTACTCCTCGTACCAAACTGGCTGACTTAGCCAAGTTGCATCTGACTTTCCATTGTTCTTAAAAAATCAAATTCTTGGGAGGAGATCCAAGATGGCGGCATGAGTAGTCTTCTTTGTCTCTCCCCCTTCGAATCTACAACTAATTGGACATTCATCGCTTAACAAAGGATATCCATATAGCATCTCAGGACGCCTAAGAGATCCACGTTGCTATACATCGGAAGGCGGACGGACTTCCCTCCGGGAGGAGGTGGAGATAGGTGAAAACTCTCTGACCCTGACCCGCGAACAGCCTAGTACCTGCAAGCAGCTTTCTTCCAGCAGATGCCCCCAGAACATCGCCACACACCACAGGCAGGAGGGAGCGCACACCAGAGGAGCGACGGTGGAAACAGGTGACCAGAGCCCTACCTAAGCCCCCCGCAATTACACCTAAGGCCAGAGGGAAGCTCCAGAGTTACACACCGGAGGTGGTGGGGAAAAGCCCTACCCGCCATTAGCGGAGAGGCTCCACCCAGCATCCACAACGCCGGGAGGCTCCCAGAGAGAATCTCCAACGGGGCAGCACGCGCCAGCTGTCGCCGTCGGTCTCACAGACTGCGGCTGTCGCCCAATCCAGGCTCGGGACTACCGGAGATCTCCTGGGAGAGGACTGGGGCTGGGTGGAGCTCCAGCGGCCGGCTCCGCAGCCTAGGGGTGAAACTCCAGAGTTCCGTCCGGGCAGCAGGCAAAGTCTCTACCTGCCATTAGTGGAGAGGCTCCG